GTCATTATATGTGTGTAATTTTTAAAATACCTTTAGTTTTAAATACAAATACTAATTTTTAGTGATGTTTGCTGTTACTGGTGGACATACGAGGTCGTGTTTTAGTCAATTTGGATGCGTTCAACGGAAATGGGGTCGTATCCCAAAGTTAGACTACAGCATAACCTATGCGAAAAAACGAATTAAATACTATGCTGGTCGTAAAGTCGCGTGGCAGTATTAAACCCCTTTAGCAGCTAATTTGAGGTTCAGATATAGCCGTATACTGTATGGACTTCGATCTATAAACATCGAAAACGCCTGGAAGGATACTCTCTGTGAAGCGAATAAGCTCTAAAGCAGCCTGATGCTTTATTGTTTTGTCCTATCAATTTAATTCAGTCGAGGCTTAATCGAAACAAAATCTGTGTACTTTTATTTTTTCTGACATAAACTGTTTGGTTAACGCGTAGATTTGCATTTATTTCCTTATTTGTTTGGCCACCAAGTGACATGTGGCCACCCACAGCGTGTGTCAGTATGTCCGCATAGATCGCCTGACAGTTGTATGACGCTTGAGACTTTAAACTCTTTCAACTTTGAAAAATTTAGAGTTCCACAATAAGAATTATAGTTCATGTTTTGCTCATCGGAATACCTTTGCTGGGTTGCTGATGTTTCGGACAGCTGGGCTGGCTGTCCTTTGTCAAAGCGTATACTGACGTCATCGATCAAAAAATCTAAAATTGTGGCTGTACAAAGGTACTCGGGCGCCAAATCTGTCAACAGGCATCTAAACCTGCCCGCGGCCTACAAAGTTCTGCGTCATTACGTAAGTCAAAGACAGGACACGGTCACACCGAAGTCAGTATTTGCAGACGAAGACGGCCCTGTGACGAAACCACCGGAAGAGGGCGCAGGCTTACCAGCATCCTCTACCGTGGGGACGAGGCCGAACACCAAATGCCGTCAAACTATGGCCACATCCACACGGATGGTCAGGCAGCGAACAGAGAAAAATTGATCACCCAAGGCCAACACGTACAGCCGCAACTTTAAGTTTGCTGACCGATAAAGTCAGTATACGTTTAGCCGAAGGACAGCCGGCCTAGCTGTCCGAAACGTCAGCAAACCAGCACATTTATTTGGGTGAGCAAAACATGAACTTATAAATATTTTCCGAAACCAAATATGCTATCCCGCAAACTTGTGCATTTCTAGAATCTGTTAGTGTTCATAAAGTATTATATGCTTAAGCTATCCGTGAACCACTCGAAAGTGGTATGCATGCGGTATTGTGTTTATCGCAGGAGGTTCAGTGAGTTAAACCCAGCAACCGCGATCTTCAGACCATGCTTACTAAGTGGAGAAGAAGTCGATAAAGGTCAAAGTAGGAGAAAGAATATATATTATGTACAAAAGGGAAGGGAGAATAGATGGAGGAAGTCTGACTTGGGAGAACGCGTCTACTCAGGAGATTGACCGGGTCCCAAGTCACTGTTTGAGAGCAGTCAGACCAGTAGACAGAGAGAGATGGCGCGTTCATTGGCTAGGTCAGCCTGTGATTGGTTGGACAGCGTGTGGGTGG